AAAGCTCCACCCCTATTTTTTCCCCTCAAGACTTCCTGTGTTTAGCCTGGACATGTAATTGGACAAGGGCCATGAGAAAAGAGAGAGAAATTTGGAAGATCAGTTCAGTCTGGAAATTCATCTGAATTGCTTTCAAATCCAATTTCTCTGCATATCCCTAACACAAATAGTGAAGTAACAGCTAAGACAACAATGAGGCATTTGCCATTTCAAATACCAGATAAAACTATAAAAAACAATTTATGGAGAAAAGAGAAAAAAATGAGAATTAGAAAATTAATCTCCTTTTCAAGACCTCTGATGATCACCAAGCTTAGACAGATGGCTGCTGTTGAAGTTGTTTCTTCTTTGCATTCATATTCAGGGAAGCTACAGACACACTATCCATGCTTGTTATCTGAGAGCATCCACAGTTCTAAGTACATACTACTGTATTGAAAATATTTTGACAATATGAATAAATATTGTTTTGCTTTGATAATTTGGGAGCTGTTAATAGGTATAATGCCCCCACTGGATCCTAATTCAACAATATAATGCAGTCCCCTATGTTTCTACTACATGACCACTCTATCACTTTCCTTGATTTAATTTCCTTCCATAGAGTATCACATCTCCAGAAAGGGCAGACCGAAAATGGCATACAAGCAAGTCAATACTTCTGGAAAGAGATTTGGGGCTGAAAAGCAAGAGGTGGAGTGGAAAGTGTCATGCTTTCTTTTGGTTCACAGTGAAGCAAAGATTCCTCTAGAATCCCTTTTCAAAGGAACTGTCCACTCCCCTGACTAAACTTCAGCACATGAGTTAATCATGCTTTGACATTTGGTTTGGGATGTCTTTTCCTGTCTTATGGATCTTCAGAAACTTTTTTTTAGGTGAGAGCTTTTCTCCACACCTGGCCTCAAAATCTGAACACAGAAGCAAGCAAGATCTGAAGTATACTTTATTTAAGTTGCATGTGTTTATGAATAGCATGGTCCCACTAGGCTGAGGTTTCACCAAAGTGCAACCATGTTTTGACTTTGACACTTCTGTGGGACAAATTGTTATATTCCATGAAATACAGAACTGTCCTTGTTAAAGGACTCAGTAGTATGTCTTTCTCCCATAAAATCTCTCCAACCTGGACTACTTTCTGCTAAACAAATACAATGCTTAGAAATAATTGGAATACATCCCTATCAAATTAGAGAAGAAAGCTGTGATTTTCACAATAAGTGCAAAGCAGATGGGATCATTTGGTTCCATGTAAAGTATAGTTTCTAGCAATTTCAAGAAAAAGAAGTGCAGCCAGATCCAGTCTCTACAGAGAAACCATGTTTTTATATTCCACAAGTGATAGCAGGTACTATTGATTGCTTGGACTAACTTCTCTAAAGTGGTACCTTTTAGATTTGTTGCATGATCTCTTATACTCTCCAACTAACAGATCCAAAGCCTAGATGGCATGAGGTTGGGGACAGCTAGCTTAGGGCTTATCCACATGCTAGCAGCTTTCTAATCATGGATTCATCCAAATGAATCTTGATTTTGAGAATCTTCCTTAATGGTATCAAACTGTATATGTATTATACTATCTAGGTTAGGGTTCTCAGAACTGAGCTACAAAAGTCTGCACTAGATGGTTCCACAGTGTTAGTTTTCTATGTCTCTTTGTTGCCATTAGTGGTCCTGTGGGTTTTTACTGCCCAGATTCTTAAGCTTCCATCAAACATGACCCCTTGCTATGCTTTGCTCATTATTGTCTTCTTTTGCTCTTTCAACTAGACCCTAAACACAGTCATAACAGATTAATTCCTACCAAACTCACCCATTTCCCTTTAACAGCTAAGCAAACATAATTAAGGGTAGAAAGCTAATGGGCTCACACAATGTACTACACCACTTTTAAGTGGGGTTTGTTGAATAAGCCTGCATTTGTACAACATGCTAAGTCTAAATCAAATAGCTTAGTCCATTGCATGCACCCCAAATCATTGTGTGAGCAAACTAAAAATTAGGATTTCATGGTATGCAGGATAAGTTAAAATAACAATTTTCAACTCTGGTATAAACCAGAGGATTAGGGAACACCAGGGAAAGGAATATTAACATGACTGAAAATCTGCAAGTTTTTTGAATGCTCTTTTTTAAATGGAGCAAACTAACCATATATGATAGGACCCGAGCTTCCTGACAGAATTACATTCAGGGCGTGATTTTTCTGTCATTAGGTCTTCATGCTAGGAAAAGCTTCTCCTACTCAGTTGCAAGCTTGCTAAAAGATATAACAGCCACGCTAATAAATAACTTGCCAGTTCTAAATGGCCCCTGTACCACATGCCTATCTCTGTATTTTGGGTTGCCTGAAATCCCAATGAATCATCACTAGTTATACCAATAAAATGTATATATCAATAGTATCTAGGTATGGTTCAGGGCTTCTGTACAGCAGAATTTACCTAACTAGCCCATCATGTAATGCATTTTTCATTGAGCAGCTACATTCTGCTCACATTAATTCATATTTCAGGCTGATTCCTGCATGTTTCTAGTAGTCTTATCTTTTTGCTACACATTCTTAATAGGATTTTTAGCAGCTGCGTGTACATAAGTAAAGGAAAAGGACTGAGTGGCTTTGCTTCTAGCCAGACAGGTGATTCTTAGAGGAACAGAAATGTGTCATGGTGAAGCCCACAAGACCACTTCATTCTGAAGTGTTACCCGGATAACAGCTGTAGATCAAACCTAACAGTTAAATGAGCACAGCCTGGCTTGGAAGATGAGGATGTCATAATAAAGTCTGCTCTTTCACAGTGTGTGATGGATGATGTATGATGAATTCTAAGTGGCCTGGAGGTTTTGAATCTGTTGCTATTTTATAGTGCCTTATCAGCAAGCAATATTTACCTGCCTGCTGATATTTGCTAGATGGAAAACTTGCACATTATTGTCCTGTTCAAATTAAAATAAATAAAACTAAAGTTGGATTTAAGGAAAATGTAAAGTACATCATGTATCAGAAGCAGGGATTGTGAAGCTTTGGAGTCCTGGGGCTATGCTTAAGCAAATGTAGCAACTTCAGTTGGTTTATCCACAAATTAGCCGGACCTTCACACCTCCAAGTTTCTGTTAGCCTATTTCAAATAAATAAGAGTTCTATGGCGCTTTAAATGCTAAGACAACTCTCTACATTTATTATTAGAAGGTAGGATCTTGCAGAGGAAGATACTATGTTAGTCCCCACCTATATAGAAGAGCTCATAGCATCAGCAAGAAAATACCATTACAGTGATATTTTTTGCTCCATACATGAAGTATACAATAGGTGAAAAGCTACAGATGGGTTTCTTGGCATGATGCTTTTCTAGATCCAAAGCTGCTTCACATGAGAAAGACCCAATCAAGTCCTCTTACTTTTTCCAGCTAAGGAAAATTCCCTCCTATTGTAACCAACAGGAAAGGAAAAGAGGGACCCTACTGTGCCAGTGGGATCTCTTCCACTTAACTAACTTTAATGGGCAAATCTCAGTTTTTGGAAGCCTGTTGTTCTATTATCAGGCACTAGGATACACCTATATGGCACAGATAGATGTACAGAGAGAAAGAGAGAGAAATTGAAAAAAGATTTTGTAAAGAATAGTGCTCCAAAGCCATGAAATGTAAGAGATACAAATATCGTATTCTTGGGCTGAAGTGATGTGTGGATATCATGGTAGACAGATAAATTATTTTCAGTACATAAGACTGTAAGAGCTTTCAGGTCAGTGGATCAAAATGAGAAGTTGCTCAAGGTGAAAAGTGCAGCTTTCTTCCTAATTTCAATCTGGACAATGAATAATTTGAAAATCGACAAATGACCTGCAGAGTTTATGATCCACCATGCCAAATTCATATATTGGTCAAATGTTGTTCCCTTTCTGGTTCTAGACCTAACCATCACCCCTTCCCTGGTGCTTAGAAGTTCCAGGTACCAAACCCAGCAGTTTTCCTAGCTTTTGGTTGGCCTCCTTATAAACCTGATGGACTCTTCAGCTTGGTAGATCACAAGAAGCTCAGGCCTGGTATAAGTAAATCCAAAATAAGCATGCAATCAATGGATGGAAGGCTATTTGGCACTAGAGCCCTTTCCTCCACTCCACTGCACAAAGGCCATTTATTTCATCACGAACTGCCTCTTCCCACAACCCCTTCCACAGCCACTGCCTGTAGTTCCAGTTGCCCGAAATGTCTGCAGGAGGGCTTGTCGGACACCCGCGCATTCCAGAAGCCCGCGATCCCTGGCTTTGCAACCTTAGCGAGGAGCGGAAGGCAGAGCCTCTGCCTGGATCCTGAGCGCATCCTTGGGTTCTCCCAGTGGGAAAGGGGTTTTCCGAGGTCCCCCTTGCCTAATCCCAGTCTCGCCTCCAAACGGGGAAGCCCTCGCTTCCTCCCCTGCTCCATCACCGCTTCTCGCAGAGCAACACGTTTTACAGGACCCTCCCTTCGCCTCCGCCCTTGTCTCCTGGCTTTTCCTTCTTTCGCCGCCGCCTCTTTCCGTTTCCAGGACGCATCTCTACAGTGCTGGGCACCAGCGGGCTCTTGAGCACGCCCCGGCCATCTCTTCCTGCGTGGGATGCTTCGCTGATGTCATGCTCTCCCTCAGCTCCTCCACACCCGCCCGCCCACTCGGCTTCCCTCTCTCCCGAGAACAGGCTCCGCCAAGAGGGGGCTGAAAGTTAGCTGCCACCCTCCATGGCTTC